TTTTAAAATCACCCTCTTTTCTAAATATCAGATGACCACATGATGTCACAAAAAGGATTCAAGGATCTTGTGTATCAGAAAAGTTAGCACCTGGCAAAGCAAAATGTGCAATCCTTCCAACAGAAAATTTGTGACAGCATGTACTAGTATCGTTGGCAACCTAACTTTAAATATGAATAGATTCCATGAGGTTGTCACTGGTTCACACATCTAACTGTGGCACTCTCCTGAAACTAAGAAGTTACTTTTTACAATCTAGGTGCTTACAATAATTACCTTTGAAAGAGATAAAAAATATCTTGACAAAATATTTTGCATTTATCGGGTGTTATAAAAAAACAAAAACAAAAACCAAAAAACAAACAAACAAACAACAAAAAAACCCCAAAGCAATCTGGTCTAAAAGAGGAAGGCCCAGCCCCAGCAAAGGCAATGGAGTACTGCCAGCCACAAGCTTCCTGCCTGGCACTTAGAAATGGTATCAGGGAATGAAAGAAACCTCTCATCACAGGAAATAACCAGGGAAGAGACAGAGCCACAATTGTACTCAATCCTTCATTTTAAAAAGTCGTACGAACAAAGGAGAAAACCTTCCCACATTCAGGTATTAAAATGGATTTTTCCACCCTATGCAGTTACCATGGAGACTGGGGTACAGGATATATGTGTTTAGTGCTGACATTCTGTGCTGTTATTTATTTGATTATTGGCCACCGGGAGGAAATTTTGGATTGGGCATATTCTATGAAAAAGCCACTTGCAAAATTGCAGAGGGGTCCATTAACTATCTTCCCTTAATGGTCACTTACCTGGTTTCCCAACATCCATCCTTGTTTCTCTCTTCACTCAACAAAGCAGCTACAATGGTCTTCCTAAAAGGCACTCAAATCCCATGACTACAAATTGCCTACCTTCAATAAGTTTTTTTAAACACAAAGCCTCCAAGTCTTTATTGTTATCATGACCTACAATGGACCTCAGGAACTCTGAAGTCTTTTACATTGTGTCTCATTCACATCAGCTGTTCCTTATAATCAGGCACCTTCCCACCTTGGAGTCTTCGGAATTGCTCTTTGTTCCTATAAGGGCAGTTTTAAATTAGAATCTACCCCACCAGCAACTGTAAAGAAACTCTTTTGGCTGGGCAAGAGCCAGGTAGATCTCTTAAGTTTGAGGGTAGCCTGCTTGGTCTACAGAGTGAGTTCCAGGAAGCTAGGACTACACAGAGAAACCCTGCAACAACAACACAACAACAAAAAGGAAGGAAGGAAGGGAGGAAAGAAGGAAGGAAGGAACTCTTCTCTCTTTTAGGGGTAAAAGAGAGAGAAAGAGGGAAAGACAGAGAGGGAACACTTCTCTCTCTTTTTAGAGGATAAGACACAGTGTAAAATAATTGTCTATATTTAGAAAATGTAACTGTCTCACTGACCAAAAGAATAAAACCCACATCACCATTTCCCTATCTCTTGTTGCAAAACTAACTGACAGAGCTCATGGGAAATGAGGAAGACCTCATACATTTAAAAAAAAAAAAGAATCTTGGAGAATAAGAGATTTTTCCATTTCAAATGCTTTTATTTTTGGTAAACATAGCTTACAAAATCTCAATATAAAGAACCATACATAGGTACATAGAAAATCCAAACACCAAACTGACTTGAACAAATTTAACAAGGTTTTTATATGCTCTGTGTGCTCTTGCACAACCACTGTCTAGGTTTTAAGATCATTCCAAGTCACATGAAACCACATTTTGTGAAACTTTTAAGTAGTTGATGACTTTGCATGTTACACTTTAGAGGACTAAGACATTGCATCATGGTGAATAGCCCTAGAATGCTATATAGAGAAAATACAACAACATATAATTCAGACTTGACAGCTTCAAGTTGATTTCTTTAAAAAAAAATCTAAAACAGAAATGTTTGCTAGTTTTAAGCACCCATCAGGAAACTGTCATATGGAGGTAAAAATAGATATAAAAAAAAAAAAAAGCCTACAGATCCCATCGAAGGAATCCTGAGGAGTTAGGGGATAATAATAGAGAAAATGTGAGTTTATATGGAACTAAGAAGTAAACTCTTTGATATGATAAAATCAATGAATGGTGGCTTACACTGCCAATCATAGCACCCTGGAGGTTGAGGCCGGCCAGTGTGAATTTGAGCCCAGCTTAGGCTACAGAGTGAAGCTAGTCTTATAAAAATAGAAACTCTTCACGTATTGTCAAACAAGAGAAAATGTGTATCTAATCACCTGGTCAACTATAAAAGGGGTACATATATGCAAGGTTTTGTGTTAATTATGTATAAAATTGTTTTACATGGTAAAAAAAAAAAACCCATCAAAACCCCGAATGACAAACATTGTATTACTTTTAAGGAGAAAATTAGTCATAATCACATAAAAAAGGATTGTGTATAAACATATAAATCAGTAAACACTGTTTGCAAGGGCCTAAGTGAACTGATTTCCTCTTCAGTTAGTATGTAAATAAATGTTGAGATTGAAGGAGTGAACTTCCTCTAACAACCAGGCCATTTTTACATGAGCATAATTTGAATTTCAAACCCAACACACAGGCCTTTGAAGTCATACAGACTCCTAACATCAAGAAACTATAGGTCAAGTGGCGGCGGGAATCCAGCGGCTGGCTGGCGACTAGGCCTCTGTGGAAGCGAATCCGACGGGAATCTGAGCCATCCGAACCGCCACCATGACGGTGGGCAAAAGCAGCAAGATGCTGCAGCACATCGACTACAGGATGAGATGCATCCTGCAAGATGGCCGGATCTTCATCGGGACCTTCAAAGCTTTTGACAAGCACATGAATTTGATCCTCTGTGACTGTGATGAGTTCAGGAAGATCAAGCCAAAGAACTCCAAACAAGCAGAAAGGGAAGAGAAGCGAGTCCTTGGTCTGGTATTGCTTCGAGGGGAGAACCTGGTCTCTATGACAGTAGAAGGACCTCCTCCCAAAGATACTGGCATTGCCCGAGTTCCACTTGCTGGAGCTGCTGGGGGGCCAGGCATTGGCAGAGCTGCTGGCAGAGGAATCCCGGCTGGTGTTCCCATGCCCCAGGCTCCTGCAGGACTTGCGGGGCCAGTCCGAGGTGTTGGAGGGCCATCCCAACAGGTGATGACCCCACAAGGAAGAGGCACTGTTGCAACTGCTGCAGCTGCAGCCACAGCCAGTATTGCAGGAGCCCCAACTCAGTACCCACCTGGTCGTGGGGGTCCTCCTCCACCTATGGGCCGAGGGGCACCTCCTCCAGGTATGATGGGCCCACCACCTGGCATGAGGCCTCCCATGGGTCCCCCAATGGGGATCCCTCCTGGCCGAGGAACTCCAATGGGCATGCCCCCTCCTGGGATGCGACCTCCTCCTCCAGGGATGCGAGGTCTGCTTTGATCTTACGCACAGCATTATGTCAGTAGCTCCGAGGAGACGTGGACCCTATTCCCCAGGGTCAGGTCACCACAGACCTGTTTGTTTGTTATGCTGTTCATGGAATCTCACTGGATTGTCTGGTGTCCCTTTCAGGGCTCCCTCCCTGGAAAATGTGCCCTCCAAGGCCCTAGACTCATCTTGGTCCTCCTCAGCTCCTTGCCTGTTTCCCAAAAGGCTGTACATAGTCCTTTTTTCCCCCCTGTGGCCTCTGAAGCTGGTTTATAATAAACTAAGAGGCTGTTATACATGAAAAAAAAAAAAAAGAAACTATAGGTCATACTTTATGAAGTGCTTAAAAAATACACAGGTCATTCAACTAAGGAAGCAGGCTCCAAGCCAAACTCTAACTTACAGTGCAACTTTTCACCAGTCAAAAGAGACTTGAAAAATGAGAAAATTAAGGATGAAAGAATAGAACTCTAGTCACATAAGCTTAGAGTTCCCATACACTATTTGCTTAGCACCCATTTTCAAGAGTATACTTCTTACAAAGTCAATATTAAGTCATTCTCAGACTGAATCTTTTTGGATTTGGCAATGTTTCTCTATAAAACCCAGGCTGCACTCAATCATGAGATTCTGCCTTAGCACTCCCAATGCTAGGATTACGGGCTTGAAATACGATGCCCTTTTCACAGTTTTGAGACAGGGACTTTGCAAGTCAAGCTGGCCCTGAACTCACATAAATCCTCCTGCCTCATTCTTCCTAACATTTGAATTACAGGCATGTGCCCATCATCACACCTGCTTCTTCAGAAGTAAGCTGGAATATCTGACATCAGTGTGAGGCAGACTACACACAGGTGTGTAACCTGGGCAAGTGGGTCTCTTTCCTCATCTGTAAAGCCTCCAGAATAACATTAATTTCTTCAGAATTATGGAAAGGCTCAAATGAAAGATTATTTACAGGTAGTTTCTAACTCTTAACTGCAACTTAAAATAAACCAAGATGTAACCAAAGCAGTGCCAATTACTGGGTCCAATGCCATAGGTTCATACTGAATTGTACTGGGCTTGGCCCTTGGCACCAGCACATTTCAATGCTCTCCAGAAAATTCTCCTGAGAACCATAGGCCTGCTGCTATGTCAGGGATTCTCAAAGTATCCCCAAGATCACCTGGGACTCTGTCAAAATGCGTATCAGTATTCAAGGAGCATCAGGCAAGAGTCTTCATCTCTAACATGTTCTCAAGCTTCGTGGAGTTACAGTGCTACTCTAAGTCCTAAGTGGCCACAAAGTACCACTTAGTTCTATGGCCCACACTTTGGCAAACAACTCTCTTTCCTTAGTCTGTAGAAAGAATGGCATAGAAAGCCACGTGTGGTGGTGTTTGCTCCAGTAATGCAAGCACTCGTAAGACTGGGCCAGCTTTGGCTACATACTGACATCTTTCACAAACCAAAATTCTGAAGGCAAAAATAAGATTAGGATTTTGTAAAAAAAAAAAAAAAAAGAAAGAAAAGAAAAAGAAAAAAAAGAAAAAAGAAGGGGGGCAAAAGATTATGTTATATATATAAAACACATGCTCTTGAAAGGACTATTTACACATCAAAAGCACACCCAGTTATTATGGTACCACTGCTCCCCACATTCATTACAAATGACATAGGTCATTTGTTCATCTGGGTTTGAATTCTGCACCCAACTTGGAAGAAAAAGTGTTCCTCTGGCAATTACAGTAACCTTGCAGTTGTATTTATCACAGCTCCTACACTTAATTTTATTTGTCTGTGTGCCATCAACTGTTTGGGGAAGGTGATGTTCCTGAATACTAGATTCTGTGTAGGAAGCTCTCAACTGCTTCAGTTCCTGGTTTGCCATGTCTAGGACAGTCATTTCAGCAAATTCTGTTGCAGACATGGTTCCAGAGAGCAAGTTTTGTTGTAAATGAGAATTTCTGGGATTGTTCAAATTGGCAACTTTGCTTCGAATAATAGTTTTATATTTTTTGATATTGTTTGAATGAAGGGTAAAAATGTGCTCTTCAATTTCTCTTGCTAAGTTATACCATACATGAACTTTTGTATGATCTGTGCAAGAACTAGCTAATGCTGTGTAAAGAAGTTCTACGCACTTAGATCTCACGGACACTAAGGGATTTTGTAACACATCTGAGTTCTTGCTAGTGGCTCTAGGGTCATCACCCTCCAAATAGCCTTCACTAATTTCCATTTGAGCAATGTTACTTTCAGATCCAATTGCTGCAGCAGGCTTTGTAGCATCTTGGGGTGACAGCCTAGAGAGAGAACTGCAGAGACCCAATATCTCATTACGGCTAGAGCCTGATCTTTCACCCTGGCTTACATCCTGAGAAACTGCTACACTTTCTAATTTATTAACATTTGTATGGAGTACTTTAAGGTTTTCCTTTGTTTTGAAGTGTGTAGTCTTATAGAAACCTCTCCATTTTGCCAGCAGACACTTGGCCTTCTTTTTTAAAGCCACTGATGGGCAGTTTTTGAGAACTCTGTAAACAGCTCTGACTACATCTGTCTCCTGCAGATGTTCCTTAGACACATAAATCATTTCTAGCTCAGCAAGCTGTTTACCAATATCCTCAAAATACCTTTTAGACACCAGTTGCTCAATCAAAGAAGCCCTGGCAATGATCTGGTTCTTGTCAGACATTTTCACAGCTGTAAAGAAAAAAAGAAAAAGATGGTTCAATCTTTTAAGCAAGCCTTTACTAGTTGCAGCTCCTGATAGTAAACTAGAACTTCTGCCAGTTGTCCATGTGGTATTTTCTGAAGGAGAAATATAAATGGGTGTGGCAAATTAGATACTGCAGTGATGTGAACTACTCAACTTTCAAGACCTTTATTCTCAATAACAGAAGGAAAATGGCTCTTCAAAGTGTAAGCAGAATATTCAAAGACTTTCTAGAATATCAGCTATAACTTTCCCACCTCCAACTGTACAAACCAGTACCTTTCTAGATTAAGATTTTTCAGGAACCTAGCATGGAGGTACATGCCTGCAATCCCAGAACTTGGAGGATGGGGACAGAAGGAACATGGGTTTAATGCCATCTTTAGATACACAGAAAACTTGAGGCTAGTCTGGAATGCATGAGACACTGCCTCATCTTGGGCAGAATTTGATGATCATCTTGGGTATAAAATCATGTTCACATAAGCATCCATAAGACAATGCTGAGCAAATATTGGGCTATTTTCTCCTCCTAATCAGCTATGAGACTAAGACACTTAATACCTTTATAATCTTTGTAGTGGTAATTTTTGAATATAAAAAAGGAAACAAAACAAAAGAGGGATGATAATGTCTGAACCAATGTAAAGAAACAGGCATTACAGGTTGGAAAGGAGGTCTAGTGAACCCTGAAATTCAACAGGATTCAATGTGCTGTCATTTGAGCTGTGGGAAAAAACAGTTGGTCACACCTAGATGCTCCACTCACTTTTTGTTTGTTTGTTTGTTTGTTTGTTTGAGACAGGGTTTCTCTGTGTAGCCCTGGCTGTCCTGAAACTCACTCTGTAGACCAGGCTGGCCTCGAACTCATCACTTATTCTTTATTTGGAAATACTTTTAGATTTACAGAAAAGTTGTGAAAAATAATACCAGTATTCCCTTTATACAAGTTCATGTACCACATACCACATATAAGTAATTTTTTTATTTCTCCTACTGTAGGGTCTTTTTTTTTAAGTTTGAAGAAAATTCTTTTCTTTTTTGTAATTTTATGTGTATGGATGTTTTGCCTGCTTGTGTGCATTATATGCATGTCTGTGCACCACATACATGCCTGGTACCTGTGGAAGCCAGAAGAAAGTATCAGATACTCCTGAAACTGGAGTTACAGATGGTTTTCCTTGCAGAATCTGGCTTCATTAACTCATGTGTTTGTATTTTCTCCCACTTAAAGTCCTTCCGACAGTCCCCTCCACCCACAGGATGGAGCCTGTGAGTGAATGTGATGAATAGCACCTCATACTGGCTCTCTGCCTTGAGCCCTCTCAACCACAGACAGGCATGGCTGATTTTCACAGCTGTGCCTTTGCTCCAACAGCTCCCTAAACCTGGCTTCGTGCTATCACCACATGTGTTCCTACCTGTGGCTGTGTAATAGAATCATCCAGGGAAAGCAGCAAAAGATAAATCAAGCAATGCTAGGGCCTCATCCCAGATAGAGTAAACTGGAGTCTTTGAGGGTAGAGCTTGTACATTAGTTCAGTTCTCCAGCCAATTCTGATTTAAGCCACACCCTGACACTGACTCCTCTACCCACCCAACCAATAGGTTGCCAGTAGTATAAAAAAGAGCTGCAGTCCTGTTCTTGGACTAAATACACAGAACCTCCCTAACTTCAGACTTCGTCAGGTAAGTTCTATTACATTAGAAACTATTCAAAATTACTGCTGTATACAATTCAATGAAAACCTCTACATTACAACTGTGACTGTAATGTAGTAAATGTTGTGATGTATACAATTCCTGATAGTCTGAAATACTTAGCTCTTAAAAGTGGGAGGCAATGAACATTTACTGAACAAGTGTATGGTGCTATTTATGCTCCGGTTACATCAAGCTGCACAATAAGCCTGGGATATGAGTTTCATCGAACAACTGAGAAACTCTGGGAAAAACATCAACTACAGTGTTTTCCTGTTTACCAACCATATTTTAAAACATCTTTGTCTACATTTCCCACAAAAGAGTAATACTTATTTTGTTCCCTTGAACACACCTGACAAGCACCTTCCGAGATATTCTCTTCTGTTACAAAATGTTCAAGATGCTTTCTTTTCTTTCAGCTTGTGAGTTCCTTTTCTTGTCTCTCTACAGCAACTTGCTTCTACTCACTTACTGTATCCTGGAAAGTCCTGGAAAACAAAGTCTACCTTAATTCTAATTTTTTTGTGTGTGATTCAGAACTCCTCTACCATAAAAATAGAACGATGATAATGAGAAGAGGGAAGAGGGAGGGAGAGGATAATGGATTACATGTGACATGAAAGCAAAAGGGAGCATTATCTGGGGCAAAGAAGCATGGAGAGGACAGTGGGTAAGGGAGATAAATTAGAATAAAGCATAATAAAAAAAAAGAAAAAAAGAAAAAAAAAGCCTGGCAGTGGTGGCACACGTCTTTAATCCCAGCACTTGGGAGGCAGAGACAGGCAGATTTCTGAGTTCGAGGCCAGCCTGGTCTACAGAGTGAGTTCCAGGACAGCCAGGGCTACACAGAGAAACCCTGTCTCAAAAAACCAAAAAAAAAAAAAAAAGAATAAAGCATAATGGTTTCTACAAATAAAATGCCATAACAAAACCTACTATTCTGAGCTGGGTAGGGATGACCCCATGGTGAACCAGTGGCCCACACCTTTAATTCCAGAACTCGAGAAGCAAAGGTAGGTGGATCTCTGTGAATTTGAGGGCAGCCTGGTCTACAGATCGAGTTCCAGGATAGCCAAGGCTATAGAGAGAAACCTTGTCTCAAAAAAAGCAAAACCAAAAAAAAAAAAAAAAAAACCAGCAAACCAACCATATAAAAATCCTTAGTATTCTGTATGCTAACAAAAACTTTAAAAATCCTAGATCAAAAAACCCCATGGTGTCCACTATGGGCTAATCAAGTAGGTCTGAGCAGTCTTTTGGATAGGGATGCTCAAGAAACTATAGTTCCTAGAAGTGAGGGGGTACTAGACAAGTTGGCTAAGTTTACTGATCATCCTATGCCTCTACTTCCTCATCATCAACATGGGTGACTCTGCCATCCTGGATTAATATGTGAATCAAATGAGATAGTTTTAATGAATCACTTCATCTTTATAAAGTGACTAACAATTACATGAATTTACAATAGAAAGTTAAAAAAAATTGTCAAGGGCTGGAAAAATGGCTCAGTGGGTAAAGGTTGTTGCCATCAAGACTGACACTGTGAGATCAATCCCAAGAATGTAACAGAGTAAGAAAACTGAGAAGTTGTCCTCTGACTTCTCCATGTGCATTCACATACCATAAATATATTAACTACAAATTAAAAATAAATTTTGGTAGGTATACTGACACACATATCCTTTTTTCTTTTTTCTTTTTTTCGAGACAAGGTTTCTCTGTAAACAGCCCTGGCTGTCCTGGAACTCACTCTGTAAACCAGGCTGGCCTCGAACTCAGAAATCCGCCTGCCTCTGCCTCCCAAGTGCTGGGATTAAAGGCGTGTGCCACCACCACCCGGCGATACACATATCCTAACATTCAGGAGGCTAAGACATTATGGTTGTCAATTCTAGACAACATGAGCTTTATAGTGAGACTTTGTCTTAAAAAAACATTTAAAAAGCCGTCTCGAAAACAAAACAAAACAAAATTTAAAAAAGATTTAATATCTACCATACCAGCTGTTTGTTGTTCCAGGACAGGAGGCCTGCAAATACTTTCTGTAAAAGGACAGATAGGAAATTCTTTAGACTTCTGGTGCAGGGACTATTCTACTCTGCTACTTTTGCAAATACAATAAACAGCAAATACTGAATGGGGCTGGAGTGATGGTTAAGCAGTTGTGTACTGCTACTACAGAGTTTCCAGCACCTACACTGGATGGCTCACAAGTGCTTATACAACCTAGCTTTAGGAAAATCTGATGCCTTTGACTTCCAATGGGACTGGCACTCACATGCAAATACTCAAACATCTATATACAGTAAAACATAATAAGGCAAGCAGGCAGGCAGGGACTGGGGAGACGGCTCAGTTGGGAAACTGCTTGCTGTGCAATGAGGACCTGAGTCTGGATCCCTAGCAGCCACACAGAAAGCTAGGCTTATGGTGCACACCTGGAATTTCAGCAACGAGAAGGGAGAGACAGGTCAATCTTTGGAGTTCACTGGCCAGGCAGTCTAGCGGAACTGGCAAGCTTCAGGTTCAGTGACAGACCCTGTCTCAAAAACAAAAAGAGAGGGACAGTAATTAAGGAAGACATCTAAGTTGATTCACACAAATTATTTTTTAAAGTGTGTGTGTGCTGGGGGAGGGGGTCTGAAGATGAGGCTCAGTTCGAGGATGACGGCACTGAGTTTGCACCTCCCTCAACCCCATTCCCTGCCCCCTCCACATGCACCTCTTAAAGCCAATGTGGTCAGATAGAGGCCAGCCAGGGCTACAAGAGACCTTATTTCAAACGAGAAAGTGGGCTGTCTGTGTTTGGCCACAGGGAACAATGCTATCTCACATAAAGATTTCAAGCTACAAAAATATTTTTTAAATGTGTGAGAGTATGTTAAAAATTGATGGAATTAATTCTAATTTTACTCAGCCAAAATATTTTTTTTCCTTTAAAAATGAGGTGGTAGGGATCACACCCAGGGCCTTATGCACATTAGAGTACGTGCTCTACTACTGAGCTACACCTAAGCCGCACCTCGATACTGTCCTTTCAAAATCTGAGGCAGGTATTTTAATTCCTTTCCATGCTAATTCTCAAAAAAAAAAATCTGCTGTGCTTTACATTTGTAACATACTCCAATTCAGATCAGACACATTCTCGGCAGTTGTAGTTCACATACGATAATATAATGCGTATACAATTTACCATTTACCAGTGGGTGCATATGTATGTGTATATTTATTATATACTCTCTATATGTGTATACATGTATATATAATTGTGTGCACATATAAAACCTTTTACAGTGATAGCAATAAGCCCTACAATGTGTTGTCTGAATGCACGCAGACGCCTGGAAATAGGGAATTATGGGAAGGGCATACACAGATATGCACTAAAATCGCCTAAACGTGAAGAAAAGGGACAGGAAAGTTTACTGCGAAATTTTCCAGAAGCTTAGGGAACAGACCAGCAATAACCCATCCGCTAAAGTCTTTAAATATCTCTTAACAACGAGGAAGGAGAAAATGAAATTTTCTAGCTCCAGGCTATACTTAATGGTCGGGCTTCAAGGCCCTAGTTAACAAGGGATAGGACACGGCGCGGGGGTGAAGGAGTGGGGGAGGGGTTGGGGGAGGACACGAAACGCCGGCAGGGGCGTTGCTGTTTTTCTGCAGCCACGGCCGCGTTAGGATCCCTGGGGGGGAAGGGACGGCGAGAGGAACCCGCCCGCCCAGAGAGATTCCGGTGGGTGGGGTTGAATACTAAACAAAGCCTAAGAAATCCACCCCCGGGGGACGGCCCTAAACCCTATGTACAGCAATGGCGGCGCGCTTTCTGGCCCGCCCAAACGATATCAACTAAACCGGAGGGGAGAATTGAACCTTAGAGCCGCCCGGGCACAGGGAGAGCCAGAGCGTCCCTGCGAGCCGGGATGGACTTCCACTGGAAACGGGAGTTAGCCCTTCAGCGGGGGACGAGCTAACGGAAATGGCGGCACACCGCCTTCCAAGAGGCTCGGTCACCGCCCAAATGGCCGCAGCACCGCCCGCCGGAAGCGCAGGCGCCGCCCTACAGTGCCCGCCTACTGCGGGAACTTCCGTTTCTCGGGGCCGGATGACGTAGCCTGCACGAGTCCTAACGTTCAAGCGAGCAAACAGGACGTGGGATTAGACGTTAACGTACTCGGGAAGTGGGGCCTGCGCAGAGCGACCCCCAAGCGCGTGAGGCCTGGGGTCGCCTAGGCGGTCCCCTGGGGGAGGAGCTAAGGCCCAAAGTGAAACTAACCTGGCTGCAGCTTTTCCGTGGAAGAGTTTGTTGATGTGCTTACTCTTTATATTTCCAGTCAAAACAGTAAGACAGACGGAACAAAATAAAAATGGGCCAGCCGTGGTGATGGACCCTAGTAGGCAAATGGCGAAGCCTAAAGAACAGAGACAGGAGGATCCCGAGTTCGAGGCCAGCCTGGTCCAAACCTTTAAAAAGGCTGGATGTGATACTTGCCTTCCCAAATAAATAAAAATAAATAAAAGTAAAACACTACATCAGAATAATCAAATAAAATATAAATGGCTGACCGTGATGGCCTGTAATAATACATGGTTAGCTTTTTGAAATGAATATAAAAATCGCTGAACCTGGTGGCATATAATACTAGCACTCCATAGGCAGAGATGGAAGACTCTCCATAAGTTCCGGGCCAGCTAGGGTTACATAGTAAGACTATCTCAACTAACTAACCAGGAGGCAAAAAGACTAGCCATAATTACTGACATGCTTAACAGTAATTAGTCCAGCAAGCATGTAATATGCATGACACGAGTGAAAGAAAGTAGTAAACATTCATTAATTAGCCCTGAGCAAAATGAACGCATCTGTGAACATTGTTTGCTTTCAAGGATTAAAACCACAATGATAATTGAACTAGAATATGTGGCAGTCTTCTTTGGCCTCTAATGCCAAAACAATTCAGAATAGATTTAAGGAAGCAAACTCCAGTGTTGTGTACTGGATCTGATGATCACAGCAAGGATACAGCAGGTGATTCTGTCATGAATATAAGAGATTTTACCTCAGTAGAGGGAGGACAAGGAACTCACACTGATCAGGATAAGGGATGTCTGATTGTTTTTAAGTTTTGGACGGTTAGTATTAGGTTATAATTACAAAGCAATGTTGGTTTGGGTTTGGTTTCGTTTAAATACAGATTCTTACACTGTAGTCTAGCCTGGCCTATAACTAACTATGTAGCCCAGGCTGTCCTCAAACTAGGATAATCTTCTTGCTCTCCAAGTGCTGATATTATGGGTGTGTATCACTAGGCCCAGTCTAGGAGTCTTGTTTTTGCTATGGTTTATCACTCTCTGAAAGTAGCCCCATTTGATGTTGGAAGTTCCCTGAAGGTATGTTTTACAAAACTTTAAGGTCTTGATTGTCAACTTGACACACC